CCGACGCCGATCAAACCATTTAACCCCTGATCCATGACCTTGGTCGAGTCGACATCCGGTCTAAGTTTTAGAACACTGGTTAGGGCACCACAACCACCCTTGTCCAAAGAAAAAAAATATTAATGAAACCTCCATTAACCGCCAATAACTTCTTAAACACCAAAACATGAATTTTTTATTTAATGATCCTTCCCACAAGTAGAATGACGTCTTAAATGCTTAAGAATTCTTAAACATGGTAATCTTATCCACATCAGCGGGTGTTCAAACCCAGATTCTAAAATAGGCATATACTAAATTACTTCAACATTCTAAAATAGATATTCAAAACCTCTACAATCTTTCATACCTATTGCAGCATTAGATATTGTTTCTAACACAACACGGTGCACCCTAAATAGCTAATATTAATGGTAAGACAACCACGAACAAAAACGCTCCAAATTCATTCATTCATTAAAAGTCGTCTCCTACAATCAGTGCCAACTTTCTAATTTTAAATTCACCTAATTTGAATCATCAATTATACTTATATGGTGCAAGTGTTCTCACAAGTCACAACTACATAGATTCACAATTGCATAGATTCCTTTACCCTTTAACATAGTGAGTAGACATGTTAATGGGTAGGATATCCAGACCCATTTAATTTAGTTAAATTCAGATCTAGATCCAGGCCCTTTTGGATTTGAAAAAATAAATCTATACCTAAACCCTTGTAGATCTAAATATCCAATGGACATTCATGGATATTTTCTGAACATATTAAGTTAAAAATATAAAGAGTACATAAATAATATAAATACCATCTAATTTTTGTTTTTAAATAATAAAATTAAGATTCAACAAGTTGAATGCAATATTATGAATTCAAAGAAAGAATTACTATTGACTACTTCTATATAGTTTCAAAAATTCAATTGCATCCACATTTAATATTTCATTCATTTGCCTTTATGTGAGAACCCTAAATTTTCACCTTTTCTCCGTATTTATTTGGATGCTTATTTCTCTTATTTTTGTAAATGAAAAGAATTTGTTACCTATCACTAAGGAGGGTTTCATTTCATACATATGAACGTGCGTTTGGTTACATTAAGTGTTTTTGTGTGAAAGTATATATATATATATATCTGTGGGAAGTACGGACGAATGCGGCGTGTGAGTTTGGAAAAGAAAAATTTTGAAAACAAAGACAGGGGCTGAATCCGGCCTGGAATCCGGGAAGAAACTGGCCGGATAGCTGGCCGGATTGCCTTGCATTTTTGAAAAAAAAAAACGTTTTAGCTTCTGCCTCATATCCGGCCAGGAATCCGGCCGGATATTCGGCTAGATTCTGGCCGGATTTTGATGGGACAGCAGCTTTGACCTGCGATTTTTCTTCCTTCTTATCTTGTTTTGGTCCAAAAATATCTTCATTTCTTCCTTGCTCAGCCGTGGCTTTTGAGAGAAAAGACCAAGCAAAGCTCTCTTTTCTTAACTTCAAATTTTGGCTTCAATCTTGAGATTTCACCATTTGATTTCTAATTCCTTCCATACAAGTGCTAGCTAGGAGGGGTTTAAGGGATTGGTGGAGTGAGTTTTGGAGTTGGAGCTCTAAGCTATCATTTCTCCTTAAGTTTCAAGGTAAACTATCTAGAAATTTACTTGTACTTCTTATGCTTGCAAAGTAGTGGATTAGAAATGTTACATGTGTAGTTTTGTAGCTAAGTTTATGGGTTTAAGTAGAGGTATAGCAAATTTCTGTTTTATAGGTAAAAATTTCTGTTTTATGATGATTAATGTTTGGGCATGATTTGGTATTTGATAAGAGTAATTTTGAGCTTGAGAATGTTGGTTTTACTTGTCTTCAAAGAATTTCAGCTTTTGTAGCAAAATTTCCAGTTTTAGGGTTTATATTTTGCTCCTTTATGTGGTTGCATTTGAAGGATATTGTGGTCTTAATTCAAGGTGTTTTATAGCTTGTTGTTTGTGGGAAAGATTGTGGTGAATTGAGGAGTGATTTGGTATTGAGGTTTGGTTGGAAAAGTAAGGAAAAACTAAGGGAAGTGCTGTCAAAATTTTCGTAAGAGCTCCTGCGCAGTCTTAGGAAAATTGCTATATCTTATGTAGGAATATCAGAATTGAGTTCCGTTTGTTGCGTTTTAAACTAGACTCATAGGGCTATAAACCGTGTAAGTTTCAGACCCTGTTTCTATCTGTGCAATTTATGGCATTTTTTCAAAGTTAACTGAAAATTGTGACCTGTTCTGTCTTGTGATGGTTAAAGCAGTACATTGCGACTTAAATTTGACCGACTTGCGTTCTGAATCTTAAGATGGTGTTTTCTGGAAAGTTATAACCCTTTGAAGTAGTTTCCAACGGTGTAAATTTTATCAATTTTGGACTTACAAAACTTGAGATACAATTTTTTCTTAGAGGGATATGCAAAACTGAAAAATCCTGTTTTCCGAGTAATGATTGTACATTCATTTTCTACTTCAACTTTGGAGTTGGTTACTTATGATAGATAGAGTATTGAGGTTGTTCATGCCTTTAAGACCGATTGTTACTCCTTTTCATTCCGAAGTCGCATTGCCTTTGCATTAATGGTTCATGTGGTTACGCACAGGACTTGTAACCGAGTTACTTGCAAATTTCTTTGATTCCAATTGTAATGTCAAGTCGTAAGTGTTTGCCTTGCTTGTTCTAGGAGGTGCCAGCGAGTAAAATCACACTTGGCAAGGAAACTTTTGAAACTATTCTTGTTTGATCTGGTGAGTGTACCACCCCTTGTATTGTTGCTACTTGAGCTATCTGTACGTGAAATCTATGACATAAATGACTGTGAATCCTGTTTAGTGTGATTGAGACGAGGGTGTACTTTATCACACTCGTACTCTTGCCTGTGTGGTATAAACTGCAATCTATCACTTGTACATGTTATGAACTTGAACCTGTTACCTGCACTTGTTATAATGTCGTTTGGATGCGTCCAACGGCTTCCTTATTAAACCTGAGCTCAACCTCATGGGGAGTTAATTAAATCGAGCCATGCAAGGGCTTGGTCGAGGAAATTGACAATCCGTGGGTGCCTGCTTTATGGAATTCTTGAGTATTGAGACTCTTGAATCCCGGTATACTCGAGTATTACCATTCCTGTTTCTATTCGGCGTTCGGGCCCGGTAAGGGGTATGAATGGTGGACGGGATTTGGCGTTAAAGTGGTGTTCTACTGGACGGGTTTTCTTATTCGAAAGTTGACGGAGGGTCAACGTAGTCGGATCAAGTACAGCAACGGGAAATTGGCTCCTGAGAGCCATCTGTATCCTTTCTGTCTGGATTGTTTTACTTATTTTCCTGTTGGGTACATGTATGTGATTACTTGAGCATGGAATTACTTAGTCCTTGACTGTATCTCTTTATTTTGGTACCTCATTGGGCTTATAGCTCACCCCGTTTTGTTATCCTTGTTTTCCTTACAGGAAAATCTTTTGGAAGCATGAGTTGAGCTGGTTATATATATGCTTTTGTATAACTCCTCAATAGATGGAAACCTTGAATGTATTTTGATCAAACAACTCCCTTTTGATTTGTAACATTGTGATCATGTATATATCTAAAAGTGTTTGCTTATGTAAACGTGTTACCCCTCTCCAACGTGTTCATTCGTTATGGTTGCCTGGAGTTATTGAAACTACGGAGGTTTCGGACGAGTATACTCAAGCGTGAAAAGGTAGAGAAAGAAATTGTGGCAGGGACTTTCAACCTTATAGCTTGGTGGTTTCCGTATTGTTCGTTTCCTTTGGTTTCTGTCACGCGTACTTTAGAGCGGTGAGTGTAGTGATCGACTGAGTCCCGGCGAGAGTTGGGCAGGCGATCCGCCGAACCCTCTGGTTCGCCTTAGGGGGAGGTGGGGCCGTTACACTTTACCTTTTCTTCTTTTCTTGAGAAAGTTTGTACCAATTACAATGATAACTAGGATTAGTTTTTGAAAAAGAAAACAACCATAACATATATAAATATTCAGCCTTACTAAAAAAATATAATTTTGTACCTCTTTTCCTTATTTAAATCTCCATGTTAGTAGATGTCTTGCAATCCAGCACTAAAATAGTAAATGAGATAAAAGTCATTTGACTAAGGACCGTTGGCAAATAAATAATAGAATAAGAAGATTTATAAACATTTACTCATTTTTTTTATTCAATCTAATCATCAGTAGTCACTAATGTTTCAATCACATCTAGAAGTTATTTACTACAAGTCTCATCAATCATTCAACCATCAACATTAAATACAGATTCTGATACTATGAAACCTTACTGTATATTCGATCTAATAGTTATAAAATATTAGATTATTTTATAAATTTGCCAATAAATATGTATATGTTATTTAATTAAATATATACGGATCTGAGTAAGATCTGGTATGGATTTGGATTTACATGTGGATTCTAAAAAATTAGACACTATCCATACCCATGACTCTCTCATAGGGTTTGGGTCTAGGTAGGGTTTAAATTTGAGAAATTAAATCCAAACCCAACCCAAATATATTGAGTTTGGGTTGAATTTGGGTAAGATCCAACCCATTGACATGCCTAATAGTGAGTATTGGATATCCTTTTTTTTTTCTTTCTCCAATTTTTTTTGCTAAATAGGAGGTTTTGAATTTAGTATCTTATACTTACAATTATTTTCATTTTACCATCCAACCCAACTCTTCATCCTTTCCTACTCCAATTTAAGGAAATATGCATTCGATATTTTTTTTATTTCCCTCTCATATCATATTTCAATAAAGAAAGAATGGAAATGTTATATTTTACCTTCCTTTATTCTCCACTAATTCCTATCTCTCTTTTTCTTGTTTTATTTAAGTGAGTCTCCAAATTTTACATCGAGTAAATTGAAGATGAAATAATTAATTACGGACGTCCTTGCCACCTAGGTAATATCTTACCGGCTAAGTTGGGTTCTAGCGGACAATCACGATGACGCCCAAGTCCAACTAGTATTCTATTACCAAGCACCCCACTACTCCCTTAACTTTCCGCGTCCCTTCGCCCAACTCCATATGCTTCAGAAGGTTCCCCAGAACACATTTGCATATAGAGTCTCTACTCTCTTACGCTCCCTTGTCCATCTCGTATGGATGCTACAGCTCCCACAAGTACTTATTCTGCTACGACTGCTTCTAACTCCGGAAATCGTCCTCAATCATCAACCCCAGTTCGCTACTTCCGTTGCTCTTGCTTCAGGCGCTGCTGTCGCTGCTTCTGCTGCTTCTACTCCTTCCCTTAATCACAAATCAATTGAGAAAACTCTGATTCTTGATCTTTCTGCCTTTAAGGTTTGTCTGGGACATGTTTTAAGATACTTGAATTTCGATATTCTTCTTGTTAATTCTATAATTTGTGATTGATCCTTGATGAATCATGAGCTAGATTATTCATGTATGTCATAAGCAGTCTCTCTATTTGGTAATTCAGTACATAATTGTTAACATGCTTGTATCTTCACTTGGATCAAGCTGTTCGTTTTGATCATCTCCAAACCCCCCCCCCCCAAAAAAAACAACAAAAAAATATTACTTTGGCATCATTTATTATTTAAACGTTTCTATAACATGATCTGCTTCAATTAAAATTGATAGATTGGCATAACTGGGGCCTTTGAATTTTCTTGAGGCTAATATCATTTGATTTACCATGCCAAGATGTGGGGTCGTAAGTGTAGAAGATACATAGGTAGCCTATTGCAATTAGTCTTTAAGTTTTTTTTTTTAATTGGAGTTTGTGAATATTTATCTAGTAATTGTACATGCCAAGACAATCAAATTCTTGAAATCAAGTGTCTTGATGACAAGTATAGTAGGATTTATGAATGTAAGAAAGTTTGGACTTTAGCTTCTTCAACAATGTGTCTTTTGAACAGGTTCTAAAGTACCTTTCATCATTCTTAGAGCATGATTTTGGCTTAGAATGGATATATTGCTAGTTTTGTAATGCTTTCTTGTTTGCATATTATTCTGGGCCACCGATCTTCTGTCATTGACTTCATTGAAGTCTTCGTCTTGTAATTCTTGGTGGCTTAGGGAAGCTTAAGTTGTATACTCTGTTCAATTTGGTTGAATTTTGGAACTATTTTCATATGAAGACTGCTATGGTTTAGTTCAATTCAATATGTTTGTCATTCAATTCTGGTAGGCAAACTTAGTATTTAAGTGTATAGTATTGTGTGGTGTTTTAGGACCTTTCTTTGGTGCAAAACCATTGTACCATTTGGATTTTATTCCTTGGTCATTAGGGCTTTTAAATTTGCACCATCATTCTATTTTATGCTGCTGAATTGCCAAGTTCCATAGGTTTCCTGGACCAAGTAGGCTTTTTATGTATGGTGATATTTTGTGATAGGGTGCATGACTTGGGTGGAGGTTTGGAGAGAAAGAAATACTACTGCATGATTAAAGTGTAGTTTTTAAGGCCCAGAACAACCTTGATTATGGGCTAAACAAGAACAAAACCTTGAAGTTCTATCAGAGAGCTCAAAGAAAGGCAATTTGATTTAATTACAACACAGCTGAACATGAGAATTTATGCAAGTCCTTCCTTCAGTAGAATCCTAATCTAATTATTGATTTTGTGCTTCTTATCCTTACTACTAAATTTATCATAAATTCCTTGTCTCTCAATTCTTATTCTTCTAACTTATGGCTACTGGACTTGTACCTGTTGTCATATGTATTAGAATTACCTTCATCAGTTCTCCTAGGGTTGGAGATAAACTGTCTTAAATCTTATATTTTTATCCACTATCAGAAGGATGCCCAAACAAGCCTTCCCCATACCTTCTTCTTTTGCCACTTACATTTGTAAGCATCTAAAACTGAGTATTTTTCAGCTTCTCCAAATTGTGAAAAACTTATATCCTGGCAAACAAATTTCAGAACTAATTCTTGTTCTTCTTTGGTTGACCTTATCATAAGAGGCGTTACATATCCACTATTTCTTTTTTTTAGTATGCAGTACTTTGAGGTCTGGTGAATAACAAAATGATGTTACTCAATATAAGTAGATGAGTATGTTAAAATGAGCTAGGTTAGAGTATAAAATCACTGTGCTTCCCTATCATGTTTCCCATCAACAATTAAGGATCTTGACCCCCTCCCTAGACTGTTGAGACAAAGGTCAGAAGGGTGGCTTGGGTCCTTATGAATCCATGCAGTAGAAAGTCAACTCTTCAGGAAAGCAGGTAGTAACACAAGTCTTTGAAATTATTTTAGGAGGTGGCCTCTTATCTGTGCCATGGGAAAGCCATTTATGTTTAGCTTGATAAGCAGAAAAATACAATTCTCAGTATTCACAAGATAAATTTTGTACCCAAGTGAAGAGCAAAATCTTTTATTCTGTCTGGGAAAAGTGCAATCATAGTCTTTTCTGTCCCATTGTGCTGAACTCCTTTTACAAATAAGGGACAATCCAAACTGGATGCAAGCCCCTATTTGTAAGAATAAACTCCATATGAGAAGAGGAACTTGTATTTTTTTTTTTTAATTCTTAATTGACTTCACTTCATTATGAAAGAAGACAGGAGAGGCCTCGGTAAGACAATGATAATATTCTGAAGTAGTTGTTGATCTGCACTCTTACATTGTTTCACGAGCATACTTTACATACAGATGGATTTGTACAATGAATAATACTTCTGGATCGCACATATACCAAAGATTCAAATAAAGCTATCTTCTAAAGTTGAGAGCTATGATGTATTGATTGTGTAAAAGTTATACCAGACAGAAGTTATGCTGAGCAATGACAATTTTTTAATTAACTGTAATTCAAGGTCACTTATGCATCTACTTGTCTATTTATATCATTATATGTTTATTGGGAGCAAACTTCTCTGGTCCTCTTAACAACCTCCCAACCTGGAAAATATGTGTGTGTGTGTGTGTGTGTGTGAAGCATAAAATACCTCACCTGTTCTGATGTGTCCTTATCATTGGTGTTCTTGCTTATTAAAATTGCTGTCCGGGCAAAGGAAATGATGGAGTAACTCTCTGTGATGCTTTGTGGTTGTTAATATTTCAAGTCTTAAGGAAGTAAACTGGCATCAGTAATTTATCTGTGACTCTGTCCTACACAATAATTATGTTTTGCTGACTTTGTCCGTCTTATACTTATGAATCATCGCTGTGGTTGTTTGCATGCAAGTTACAGGATTTACTTCACTTTCCTGTTGTCTTTTCTGCTTAAAGAGAGGCGATGACGTACAATATATAGAGCTATACATAAGCTTGGTTGTCTCCAGACAAACATGATAGTGACAGGTTCTGGGGGCAATCTTATCTACCAAATGGTCAAATAATTTATGTATCAAAAACTAGAAAACCCAGGTCAAGCCCATTTCTGGTATTCATTTTGGGATCTGCTTTTCTGGAGGCTTGCTAGACTTGTTTCTATTTTGCTATTGTTGCTTGATGAACAAAATGAAAAATTCTTCTTGTTTGTTTTTCTCTAGTAAATGTAAACCAACTTGACTTTCCCTCTTTTGGATTGTTGTTTGCTATTAGCAGCTTTGGTGCTGAAATTGCTGGGAGTTGGTTTCACTAGTTAAGCCACACTTCGGAGAGGAAGAATAATGTTCTTATTCAAAGTTCTAGTTTTTGATATACTGTATTGATGCTCATCTAATTGCTCATATAGCATTTGAATTATGTTGATAGTGGCACATTGAATTCCAGTGATGCCTTGAGGATGGTAAAATGCTGATTTTGCACCACTTTTGCATAATCAGTACCAGAGAAGCTCACTACGCTGCAAGTATGCGAGGCGTCTGCATCAAGACTACATAGATGGCGTAAAAATTTATCTAAGCAGCAGGATTGGCAGTCTTATGTGTTTCTCTTCCATTAGACATCTAAAAATGTAGTTTAAAAACCATATATAACATGTAATCTTGCTTTTTGTGGATCAGAGATTACTACCATTGTAAAGGTTACCTGCTTAGTTTCCTTCTATGCATCATGTATGAAGTTGTCAGGCCCCACTTTAGGCATTTGGCCATGATTGAAATTGTCAACATGTTAGATGCATAGGATAGCAGCTATTAGTTTTCAAATTTGTCGTCCTTCAATTCACCATATAGTTGCTACAAGTTTTCTGTTACACCTACAAGTTGTAAACAAGTCTGCATATTCTCTAGAACACGATGAATACAATTACCAATGAGAATCTCCTTCTGGCAGCGGAAGAACTCGTCTTACAAAAATCAAAGTTTCTGTCTATATCAGTCAGTAAACTTGCATAGCCGCTTTTGCAGGATCAGGGAGAAGTACTTTCAACAGTTCTTTTGCCCCTTGCTATACTTGGAATTTACGGTTATTTGCCTTCTGATCTTGATGCGTGGCCTTTCAGGTATCTTGAGTTCAAATCTTTGTTGGTAAGAGCGCATATTGGAGATTGGGAGTATAAAATAGGCTAAATTAATCCTGCTTTAAACTGGTTATAGCAGGTATATTGTGTTTTTTGTTTAGAAAGTTAAAATTTGTCATGGTCCAAGGACTTGGTTGGTGTTTTGTTGGACCATACTAAAAATGTTGCTAGACAACAAGCACCAAGCATGCTTTGCACTTCTTCGTCATTATCTTTCTTTGACTCTATTATTGTGCATTTCAACAGTAGCTTTCTTTAATTGATAAGCTTTGAATTAGGTAAATTTTTTTTTGAGGGAGGCACAGCATGAATTTGCGGCAAGGGACAAAAAAGCATGAGATCTGGTCAGAAGGCTGGAGAAAGAGGCTAAACTATGATTTATCTGTTCGCTTTTTTGGTTGTTCCCACCCAAAATGGAGGAAGAAATTGGCAGCAGACTAAATCTTCTTGGAGTGACTTTTGAGGGACATGTTTGTCAGGCTGTAAGGGGATGAATATTGAGAAGCTATCCAGATTCAAGTCCCTTTAAAGGGTATGGACCAAAGAAAAAGTTTACGTTATACTGGTCAAGATTTTATTTCTTTGTTTTATAATAAGTTCTTTATCCTCACTTACCTTAGTAAAAACCGAAAAAAAAAAAGGCCTAATCCCAACTACCAAATTCTTCATTTAGTGAATAAAGAAGCCCCTTAGGCAAACATTTAGTGAAAAACAAAGCAAAATCAGACAAAGGCTTCCAAGTGGAAAGACAGATACTGCTACTTTTGAGTTTTGTCAAGTAAAGCAAAAACCAGGAATCTAACATTAAGAGTGCCTTCTGCTGTCCTATAAACACTTTTCATCATTCCTGCTGGTTTACTGGAATGAGGAATCATTAGTCATTTACTGCAAGTTACTGGTCTAAGAATTTTATTGAATTGAGTTGAGTAAAAAATTAGAAAGAAATGGAACAAAAGATGCATATACTAGGGCAAAAAATTTCAACAGTCATTAAATTATTATCTGCATCTACTTTGACTATTAAATAATTTTTCGTTTCAAATTAGCCACTTAATTAACTAATCAGCACACATGTTATCATTTTGTCGATTATTGCTTTTAATCAACAAAATAATCAAAAATGTGTTTTAACAAAAAAAATACCTATGATGCACAAACAGATTTACCCTTACATTTTGACATGCATTCTAATTATTTTGCAAATTAAGAATAATAATTGATGAAATGATTGCGAATGTACTGATTAGTTAGTTTAGTAGCTAATTTGTGACCAAGATATTATTTGATGGTCAAAAAGAAATGCGAGCAATAATTTACTGCCGCTGAAATGTTTGGGCCGCATAAAATAATATTTGACTACTGATATTAACAGTTAAACGTTGCTGCCACTATTTATAGTAACAAAAGAAACTTCCATTCTCTTTAACCTCTCTTCTTTACTGTCTTTTTGAACATCGATTCTTGCATTACAGCTACCTGAGGTCAAGTCAAAGTCATACCACAAGAATGAAAATAAATAAATAATTGAACAAGAGAAGAAACAATTCATGGGGTCAAACCCTTTCTCTTCTTTTTAGTACACAAACTTTTCGTGACCAATGGAGTCTCATACACTAATTATCTAGAGCTGTTACATTATCTTTTTCCTCCAAAATTTTCCTCTTTGGGTTCTTACCTTAGCAGTATATCTGCAGCAGTTCTCACCAAAAACCAGAATCCGGCAGAGGAGACGGGCGATGGTTGGTTGTCTTAGGACATACAAAGAGTGAAAGTTACACCAAACAAAAACAAGAATAAAATTAAAAATTAAAAAAAGAGTACAACCATCCAACTCATTTCTCCTACTTGTAACTTTTTTCTGTTTCTTTTTTTTTTTTTTTACCCTGGGGTTAAAATCTTTTCTTTTTTTAGGAATAAACTTTTCTTTTTCCCCTACCTATGGTGACTACAGAAGTCCAAAAGCTTCTTCCTTCCTTCAACAATTTCATCAAAGAAATCATCAAGTTGTCCAACAATATTCTCAGTCCCGGATCTCAGAACACCAAAACAATCCCTCAGATTCTCCACTCTTTCTGTTATCCCATGTTCTGATTCCCAGTCCACCACTCCTACCCCTTGGGAGCACCTCCTCTCCAACTCCACTCTCAGCTCTTCCATGGCTGCCTTTGATCTTCGAAATTCATAAAGCAAAATCCCCGGCCGGCCATTGATCTGATTGATTTCTGCTGCAACCCTTTGATGCAATCTTGCTGTTGAGATCATCAAGGCTGATCCAAAGAACAAACATCCCCCGCCTTCATATCCTCCTCCTCTAAGGAAATCAGATTCTTGAGGCCAACAGTAGACCAGTCCATAGAGCAAGATCATCAGCAGAAGTGAACTAACATTTCTCATTGCATAAAGAACTCCTCTGAAACCATTGAATCCATTTAGCTTTGATTCAACACAACCTTTCTCATCAAAACGTAACGAAAGTGGCTCAATTCTTGTCTCCATCAAAGCCCTGTTATCTTCCTCCAGTCCTACTGTTTCTCTTCTGCAACCACTGATTGCTCTGATTACCTGTTTCAAGAATTCAGTTATATACCTCCTCGAAACATGATGATCACAAAATTATATTCAATTAACTAATCTAAGAAGAAAGAATTCAAAACTACAATCTTACTTGACGGTTGACTTGTGGGCTGAGGAAGGGATGATTTTCAAGTGATGAATTGATGTTAAGGCCAGCAGCATAGTAATTTTCCATGCCTGATATGCCAGACTTGAGGACATGACAGACTTCCCAAAGCTTAGAGCTTTCATCCATGTACTCATCAAGCCACTTTTCACCAACAGGCAAGTGGAGCTTTTGAACAAGGAGGATCAAATGAGTGTGGGATGATCTGAGAAGGGTTAGAACTCGCTGAAGGAATTGAATAGACAAGAAGTTATTGGAGAGGAAATATCTCTCAAGATCATCAATACCTCTGGTTAGGAAGGAGTAGAATCCATTGACAGAGTTGGTGGAAGAAGGATCCATCATAGTAATTAGAAAGGGATGAGTAACCAGTTAGTGGAACAGAAAAGGAAAAGGAGTTCCAAGTCCTAAATTTGGACTGGAGGAAAAAGGATATATAAGAGGAGATTTGAACTTGTACGAGAGAAGGGAGAAAAAAGTGAAAGAATGGACGGAGGAGGGAATATCTTAGAAGCTCAGATTTCTAAGGTTTTGAAAAGGATCGTTGGGAGCAATGATGGGTGTTTCCTATAGAGGGGAAAGGATGATTGGTAATCTGCCATTTTCATTGTTAAATGGGCAGAAAGGAAGGGAAAGAAGGAGAAGAAAAGGAAAGGAAATACACTACTCCTACTTACTAGCCACAAAAAGGTGGAATGAGAGAGTGAAACAAGGGGAAACTCAAGAAGTATGATCCTCATTGGAGTGCTGTGGAGCAAGCTCTCTTCCAATTTATTGCTTTTTCCCCTTTCTTGGTTTTTCCTTTATAGCCTTGGCTTTACTATCCTAGTACATGCCAGCACTTTCAAAGTTCCAAGGGGAATTGTTATGTTTGAATGCTACAAAACTGATAGTACTATTAGTACTAATCAAAGATAATATAAATATTCAGGGAAAGGAAAAAAAAGAAAGCAAGTGCTAGTGATTTTTGAGTTGTGAACTTCTTTTTTGTTTTAGCTATTGGCAATGTCCTATGATGTTAAATTCAATTCTTGGGTTGTAAAATGTTTGACTAGATTGACTAAGATTGTGCTCTTCCAGTGTATTACTAAAACTAAAATTCTTCTCTTTTGGTTTTAGTGCTCCTTGGCTTCTTCTTTCCTCTTTTTCTTCCTCGAGCAACTGACTTTGTTCCTTTACTTCCCATCTATTCTATTGAAGTTTGTGGATTTGTTTCTCCCAGAAATCTTCTATTCTCTTTGTTTTCTGTTTTTCTTCTTTTTTGGAGGAACTTGAAATGATGGGATTCTTTGTATTTGTAGTGTATCTTTTCCTTTCCATTAAGCAAAATCAGTCTTTTTAGGCCATTCAAAATGTCTAACAATTTACAAGGTCTTCATCTCCCAATCCTTCTCAATTTATTCTTGCTGACAATTGATCATGGTCCCTGTATACCTTATTTCCAGCAAATCACACATGTGATGAGATCGACTATTTTCACTTAGCATTAGTTTAGTGGTCCTTAACATTTATCAATCGTCTTTTGGGTCCAAATCACTTATTCAGGAACAATTCTGGTATTTTAAGCTAGGAATTACTAAACTGTACTTGGTGACTAAGATTTTCATTTTGCATTAGACAGCTCCATCTGTTCCTTTTTTTTTTTTTTTTTAGCTCTTATAGTGATTTCTTTTTCCTTGATTTTTCACGTAGTAGTAAAGATAAATGTGCTAATGTGTCTAACTTTACATAGCTGTTTAGTGATGATAGGGACCAAGAAACTTACTAAGGATTTGGATCTATCTTTAAGGATGCGCTAATGTATCTATCTTTAATTGTGTATTGGGGTTAATGTTTTTTTTTTTTTTTACATTTACTGCCATTAGTTTTATACTGGAGTGCTCGTGGGTTTTTGGAGAATGGGACGCTTTAAGAGTATGTTGGTCTTTTTAGATCTCATTGGAAGGTGAACATGAACTATGGTCCATTATTTAAGGGCATTGATTTGGGCGCTTTCAACTTTGCTTTGCTCGACAGACCACCCACAGCTAATTCTAGAATTAAGGATGAGATCGTCCCTTCATTCTTTTGCGTATGCATGTAGGCTGTAGCTTCTCTTTAGACTGTATTATAGACTTTATATAGTAATTGCCACA